ACAGAGCCCAATTTTGGGGAGGGTCATTCAGAACCCCGTGCTGGGGGCTCAGCCCTCACCTGGCAGGACAGGGAGCCGTCCCTCTCCACGATGCACTCGGCCTTCTCGTGGCAGGGGCTGATCTCCCCGTTGGGGCAGCGCCGCCCGCTCTGGCTGCGGCAGCCGCTCACCTGATCCCCCACAAAGCCAGGCTTGCAGGCCCCACACTTGTAGGATCCCTGCGGGAGAAGGGAACGAGGAGTTGACTCCCACAGCCCTTCCCCAGCCCCTGGATTGTCCCTGGGAACTGAGGACACAAGGCCTGGGAAGGGAGGTCTGTGAGGGGCTCCGGTGATGTCACCAAATCAGGGAATCCCAGACTGGTTTGGGTGGGAAGGGACTTTAAAGTTCATCCAGTGCCATCCCCTGCCACGGGAAGGGACACCTTCCCCCAGCCCAGGGTGCTCCAGCCTGGCCTTGGACACTCCCAGGGATGGGGCAGCCACAGCTTCTCTGGGAAATCCATCCCAGCCCCTCCCCACCCTCACAGGGAACAATTCCTTCCCAATATCCCATCCAACCCTGCCCTCTGGCAGTGGGAAGCCATTCCCTGTGTCCTGTCCCTCCACCCCTTGTCCCAGGTCCCTCTCCAGCTCTCCTGGAGCCCCTTCAGGCTGCAGAATCTCCCTGGAGCCTTCCCTTCTCCAGGCTGGAGAATCCCAGCTGTCCCAGCCTGGTTGCAGAGCAGAGGGGCTCCAGCCCTGGGGGCGGCTCTGGGGCCCTGAGCATTTACCCGGGTGTTGATGCAGATGGAGTTGGGGACACAGTTCCTGGCGGCCCCGGTCTCACACTCGTTGATGTCCGTGCACACCTGCCCAGGAAGAGCCAAACCCACGGTAAATTCCCTCCTGAGCGGCCCCCACGGCACATCCCAGGATCTGGGCGCGACCAGGAGCGCAAAGCAAAGCCCTGGCACGCACCTTACTAGCCCAGGGCTAGCAAGTTTTCCTCCTGAGCAGCTCGAGGCAGATCCCAGCGAGGCTCCTGACCCCGGGCAAGCCTCTTCCCCCTCTCCAGAGGGGGAAAAAAACCGCTTTGAGCTGCCAGAACATCCTCACTGTGGAGGGATGGCAGGGGGTCCACGGAGCAGCTCCAAACAACCCAACCCACGTGGGGATTGTGTTCCTGTGCTCCCCAGGGAGCACAGGCTGTGGGGTTTTTGATCCCAATCCGTCAGGAGCTGTCAGGGAAGCTGGGAGGGGGCGGGGGGGGTGGCAGTAGCTGCGTGAACTCTTCTGTGTCCCAGCAGGAAGGGACACACAAGGAAAGCCACGGAATGCTCTGCCCAGCCTCAGGTAAGGCCTTGGAGCGGGCTGAGGTGTCAGGACATCCTGGGCACGGCTCTCCCTCTCCCTGCATCCCCCTTCCCACCGAGGCGTGGGATCCTGGGGTCACACACTGCTGTGGGGTGGAGGGCACCTTAGAGAACCCTCCTACTCACCCAGAGCTCCCTCCAGCCTGGCCTTGGCCACTGCCAGGGCTGGGGGCAGCTCCCCTGGGCACCCCATCCCAGCCCCTGCCCTGACCATCATCTCACATTTCCCTCCCGTTCCTCCGAGACCTCGGAACGGCAGCGACGGAGGGGAGAGCCTGAGCGACCCCCCGAGGGGCACGGGGCACTCCCTGGGCCTTACCTGCTTGTTGGCCCTGGCATAGGCCAGCCCAACGCCCTCCACCAGCTGCCCGGTGAAGCCGGGCGGGCAGGGGTCGCAGCGGAAGCCGGGGGTGGTGTTAATGCACTGGACTTTCGGGAAGCAGGGGTTTGCGTTGCACTGAAACAAGAGAGAGGGTTGGGCAGCACCAAAGCTGGGGTTGGGGAGTGGGGGACAGGTCCAGCTCTTGGGCTTTTTTCAGCTCTGAAGGTCGAGGTGAAAACGCTCCGAGCCCGCTTTTCCCCCCTCGGTTGTCGCCCCCCAAAAAACGCGCGGGTCAAACAGAGCGACTGTCGGCACTGCTCCTCCTTCAGGTGGCACCAGCTGCCCAGGCAGGGGCTGTGCTGGCCCCACACCTCCCTTCCTGGGATCCTCTGAGTCCAGAGAGCTGGACAGTTCCTCGCACTGCGGAATTTCAGCTCCCAGAGGGACCTCGAGAGTTCTCCTTAAAACCCCGGGACAAACCCCCAGGCAGTTGTTTGTTCCCCACTCTGGGGAGCGACTCTCTTTCCAAACTTGCTGTGAGAGCTTCGCTTCCTCCAGCACTTCACTGTTTTCCCTGGATTCTCACTGGCAGATGGATCCCATGAATACAGTGGGCCCCACATTTTAGACCACCAGATTATCACCAGTCCCAGAATCTCCCACCCACCCTTTTTACATGGAAATGGAGTAGAGGTTGAGATGGCTCTGCCTGGTGGAATAATCAGGGAGCTTAGGAATACGGCTTGGGAACCACAGGAATGTCCTGTGGACCCACGGAATCAGTGAGCAGAGCTTTGCACACACACACACACACGGAGCCTCAACTTGGGGGAATGCCACAATTCCTAAAAAAAACACAAAAGCCCAACAACCCCACACAGCATCTGCCCAGCGAGGTTTGATTTAAGGGCAGAAATAAAGCAATCCAAGCAGTGTGGTGAGATTTGCCGCTCCCAGGACCGTTTGGGAAGGATTTGATTCAATCCCACACCTAATAAATCTTATCTCCGACAACTCATCAGCTCTGGCCTCCCAAACTCACCTTCCTGTGTGGCACAGACCGAAGGGTTTATTTTTGGTGGAGAAAGAAATCCCAAGCTGGCCTGGCTGCAAACCTTCAACCCCCACGGACAGGGCTTGGGGAGGGGGAGATCCCAAACCCCTTCCAGCCCGAGGGGATCCCTGCGGGATTTCAGCTCCCGGAGGAACTGCGGGACTTTCCCCCCCAAACCACGAGGCAAACCCTCAGAGAGAGCAGGGGCAGTTCTGGGGCTCCCAGGCCGTGTTTTTACCTCGTTGATGTCGGTGCAGTGGGTCCCGTTCCCGGAGTAGCCGGCGGGGCAGGGCCCGCAGCGGAAGCCGGAGCCGGTCTCGGTGCAGGGAACTCCCGGGAAACAGGGATTGGGGAGGCACCTGTTGAACTGGGTCACGGTGATGACAGGGCCTGTCACCTCCGGGCGCATCCCTGGGGGACAAGGGGGATGTCAAGGGCAGAGCCAGAGGCCTCCCCGGGGGTCCCAGCGCTCCCACGCACGGAACATCCGTCCCCGTCCTTCCCCAGGGATGATCAGCTGCTGCTCCACCCTGGGAATGGGTGCAAATCACAGAATCCTGGGTCAGGCTGGAAGGGACCTCAAGGATTTCTGACTCAGAGCAGGCAAAATAGCAGATCAGAAGCCACAGAAGGCACAGAACCACGGGCTGGGTTGGGCTGGAAGGACATCAAAGCTCACCCAGTCCCCCCCCCAGGCCATGGGCAGGGACACCTTCCAGGTTGCTTCCACCAGGCCAGGTTGCTCCCAGCCCAGTCCAACCCAGCCCTGGACACTTCCAAAGTCTTAGCTCCCAGTCCAAAGCTCTCCTTGTCTCCAGCCCCTCTGGAGTTCCACAGGAACGAGTTCCCTGCCTGGTTCCTGCCCCTCGCTGCTGGGGTGGGCTCAGACCTTTGGCTCCAAGAGAACCCACAGAGGCTTCGGCGTGGGCACTGCTGGGCTGGCAGACAGAGCCCTGCTGAAGTTTTGGGCCAAATGCCAGGGGTTTGGTCCTCAGTCCTCACTGCCTGTCCCCCCCCAGCACCGAGCAAACAGAGCACAGGATGGAGAACTTCACTGATTCAAGACTGGGAATGAACTTGCCTGGAAACCTGAATCGTCACAGCCTCCCACGGGGCCAAGGGGCACTTTTTGCTCCCTTTTTCTCCAGCTTGAAAAAAACCCATTAAAAAAAACCCATAAAAAACCAAACCAAACCAAAACACAAAAAAACAAACAAACAAAAAACCCCAAACAAAAAACCAAAAATAACAAAAAACCACCCTGAAATAAAACAACAAACAACACTCTGCCAGCAGCAAAACCTTCACTGGAAAGGAAAAGATCTGCCCTGCTCACCCTTCTCTTCCTGGGAAATAAGAGAGGGATGTTGTTCAGGGCTCAGACCCTGCAAGGCAGGAGCACGGGAGGACACACAGGAAAGCAGGACAGAGAGTGAGGGAGGCAGAAATCAAGTAACAGAGAGAAAGTTCAGGACAGTTTTATGAGGAAATGATTAAAGCAATTGCAGGGGATGGATGCGTTTCTGTCCCAGAAGCTCTGGGTAATCTCTTTTCCAGCAGGAGCACGATCCCTCCGAAGGCAGGAATGGCTCTTGCTCCACCCTCTGAGCGTGCCGGTGAATAACAGAGCATCTCCCAGAGCTTTCTGCGAGCCAGGCACGCCGGGGTGAGCTCCAGGCGAGGAAAACCACGTTTACTGGGGAGCAGAAGGTTTATATGGGGCGAATTTATGAGCCCGTTTCCCGAATTCCCTGTAAATAAAACCCACCCGCAGCTGGGGCTGCCCCATCCCTGGAAGTGGCCAAGGCCAGGCTGGAGCAACCTGGGATAGGGGAAAGTGTCCCTGCCCGGGGCAGGGGGGTCGAAACAAGATGATTTCTAAGGTCCCTTCCCACCCACGATCCTGGATTTGAATTTTTGGGAAGCTGCTCCTGCCCAGCTGAGCCCCCCGAGGAGCGCAGGCAGCACCAATCCCTGCGGGAGGAACGTCCTGGGGAATGGAAAAAGCATCCCAAATATCGAGTTCTCCCCGTAGGACAGCTATGATTGGAGTTGATTTACTCCATTTTTTGCCACTTTTTTGGACACAAAGAGGGTTTGGAGGGGGCAGCTGGGCTGGGTTCACTCACCGCAGGCATCGCACTCCATCACCGTGTTCTTCAGGAACGTTATCTCCTTAATCTGGGGGAAAACAAGAGCCACCCCCTCAGCCAGAGGCTCCCAGAGAGCCCCAGTGCCGGCACACAGGGTGTCTGAGCCCCCCCAGGCCTCACAAAAAACCACATTAACCCTGTTAATGGTTTTTTTTTAGCTGGTTTGTGCCCCTCCCTGGGCGGTGTTCCCACCCTGGGTAACAGCCGGGGGGCCACGGGGGGGTGGGCAGGGAACGTTTGGCTGGGGTGGACACAGCCCAGTGGAGGAAAAGCAAGTTTTTAAGCAAATCTTTGCCCAGATTAAGGAATTCTCATCTGCCACCTTGTTTTGGTTTTTTTTTGTTTTTTTTTTTTTCTCCCCAGTTGGGAAATGCAAGTTTGCCTCCTGAGGGTGAGCTTTGTGATGGTGTTGTTGAGAGAAAGGCCGCGGATGTAAAAAAAAAAAACCAATAAATAAAATTAAATAAAATAAAAAGGTGGCATGAGGGAAAGGACAAACAGAAAAGCTGCCCAGGGAGAAGCAGCTGGAAGGGAAGATTGGAAATCACTGCTGGAGGTGCCAGGAGCTGTGTCTGACCTGATTCCCAGCAAACAGTGGGCATTTATGCAGCAGCCTGGAATGTGAGAGGAGCTGAGGGCAGCAGAGGTTTTTGTGGATTAGAGGCCTCCCAGTTTGTGCTGCCATTCCAGTTCCCTGGCACGGGAATCCCTCGGCTCCCACCGGGAAGGATCCAGGCAGAACGGAGCCTTTTTCTCCCCTGGAGGGAGCTGAGCGGGCAAAGCACCATCCCCTCCTGGAAATGGGAGGAGATCCAAGCACCCAAGAACCTCCAACCTCCCGGGAGCCAACAGGGCTTGGGATTAAAACAGCACGAGGGAAGAGTGAACCTGGAGCTTGTTTAGACCCCCCAGGACTTCCCTCACCAGCACTTGGAGTTTTCCCAACTTGAGTTTTCCAACTTAAGTTTCCCAACTTAAGTTTGTTTTTTGTTTTGTTTTGTTTTGTTTTGTTTTGAACTTAAATTCTTCAAGTTGAGTCTGTGGTTCGTTTGGGGTTTTTTTTCCCGACTCCAAAGTTTTTCCAAACTTTATCTGGGGAGTTCCAGACCTGCCGGGCCACCACCTCAGCTGTGGTTCGCAGCACAACGACCTGCAGCTCCTCCCGCCCCAGGGGCAGCTCCCCCAGCTCCAGAGCAGACAAGGCAGAGCATTCCAAGGTCTCTTTCCCGCAGAAAATTCAGGAATCAGGGCCCGTCCTCACCCACCTGCTGCTTCAGCAGCTCCCGAACCTCCGTCAGCACACGGTTGGTTTCTCTCATCTCCTCCAGCATTTCTGGCCCGACTTCACCTCCTAAAAAAAAAAACAAAACCCAGAGCGTTGGGAAAAAAGCAGAGAAGAGCCCCAGGAACCACCTGATGTCCCCAGCTCAGCATCGAGGATGCAGATCCCACACCGGGCCCCTGCCGGTTCCTGGAAGGAGTTCCCGCTGGAATCAAGAGAGGTGGAATTTGCTGTGATAAGGTGACAATCAGCAGCTCCTGGCAGGGAAGGAGGGAAGGAGGGAGGGAAGGAGGGAGGGGAGAGCCCTGGGAGCTGCTCCCCTGGCACAGGACCCGCAGTTCTCACTCAGGAAGGACGAGCTGCCAAAAGAAGGGGATGAATGAGCCGGTGCTGGGAAGGGCTGGGAATTGCTGGGAATTGCTGGGAATTGCTCCCTCCAGCAGCCCCAAACTCGTCCCTGAGGCTCTCCCAGATGTGCTTCCTTTCCCCCTGGGCATGGGAAAGGGGCACATCAGCTGCTGCCTCACCTGCTGCCGGGGCACTCAGGGGTCTCTTGCTGAAGGCGGGTTCTTTCCTTTCAAAGTGCCGGGTGGGATCTTTGGGGGACACAAAGGGACAAAAGTGCTCAATCCGCGTGGAAAAACCCCTGCCCAGGCACACACAGCTCCTCAGGGGGCACCTGAACGGGCATTTCCCTCCCCTCTGCCCAATTCCAGGCCTGCTGAGCCCCTTTGAGGGGGGTTTAGAGCCTGGGCTGGGCTCGGGGAGCTCAGTGTGCCCAGAACGAGGTGGTGACAAGAAAACTCGAGACATAACAAAATAACTGGACACAGAGTTTGATCCAGGTTTATCCCCTGAAATCCCCCTGTCCAGTTCCTGGCTGTCCATGGGAATGCACAGCCTCATTTCTCCACTTTTCTCCTAGCATTTCTCTGGGGTTTTTTTTTCTGGATTGATCAATGCTCGGGCATTAAATCACCCCTTGCCTGAAAACAGGCAGAAATTGGGATATCTCCCACAAACAGGGGGGAAACCAGCTGGGATTTGGGGTGTGCAATGCCTGAGCACAGGGAATTTTCCAGCTCCAAAGGCAGTTGGGAGCCCAGGCTGCTGATTTAGCAGAACTCCCTCAACCCTTCCTGCGACAAACCTGAAAACCTGGTGGGTGTTCCCTGCACTGGGCGAATATTTGAAGCCTCTCCAACGCTTTCTGGTTTGGGCACTGGCTTGGAAGCCCCACAAACGTTGCCATTCTTAGGCAGAAAGGCTGGAATTAAAGAGATGTTTCCCTAATTTATTGAAAACAAGGAGTTTGCAGAGGATTTCTGACTCCAAGCGGAGGTTTTGGCTCAGCTCTGCACGAAAGGCTTCGGGGCAGCTTCCGTTATTCCTGGGAAGAATTTTCCATCCCTGAGTGGCAGGAGGGGATTTGAAATCAAAGTTTGGAGTTTGGGGGGGGGGGGGGAGGTGAGTTTTAAAATGCAAATTCACCATAGTGACTCAGCCACTCCAAAGGAAATCTCTCTGCACTTGCAGAGTTTTCCGTGGCTGTGGATCCTTTTCCACGGGGCTCGTCCTGCCCCCACTCCTGGATCCCTGATGGATCCCCCAGATCCTCTCTGGGCTGAGAACTCCCCCCAAAAGAAACCTGCCTGGAGAAGTGGAACTTCTGCATTCCCAGAACTCAGGGCTTGCCTGGGCTCCACGTGCTCAGGAAAAGGGAACAGCCACGGGGCCTGGGACAGGACATTCCGTACCATCTGGGTTTTGGTGGGTGGGTTTTTTTTTTTTTAACTTAAATCAGGTGTAAAATGCGGATTAAGGCAATTTGCAGGTCACGACAGAACCCGACAACAATTTCCAGGATAAATATTTCCCTTCAAAAAAAAAAATAAAGAAAAAAAGAAAATTTAAAAATTGCCGTGCTCAGGAAGGGAAACTGAGGAGAGACCTGAGCATTTACACCGTTTCCTACAGAACCCCCCAAACCCCCAAAGGTTGCCGGAGCATCCCCCTCCCTCCCCCCATCCCAGAGGAGCCCGGAGAGCAGAGAAAACAGGATGAGCCACTCACCTATCCTCCTCTGCTGACAGGAGGAGAAGGGGCAGGACAGGCAGAGGAGCAGAGCGACGAGCAGAGCTGGAATCATCCTGGGATGTCGGGGCAGGGTGGGCGAAGGAGGAGCCGCTCCTGCAGCGGGTCCTGGACCTGCAGCTCTGCCTCTGCTCCCCATTAGAGCCTGTGGTTTGCTATTTATGAAGCTGCATTCCTGCCTCTGAAGTTCCTGCTCGGGATGCTGGACGAGGGTGGACGTCATTCCTGGCTGCTCCTTCCGCGGGGAGCGTTGCAAAAGTAAACAGTATGAGAAACTCATCAGGAGGGGAGCTTCATTTTTTATTTATTTCTCTCTCTTTTTTTTTTTTTTTTTTAACAATTTTTTTTTTTTTAAAGGCCAGCTCGCAACAAAATAGGTCAGAAAATTCCAGAATTCAACGGGCTCTTCTCGGGGTTTTCTTTCCTTCTACCCGGACGTGGGACAGACGGGACAGTTCCCAGCCCGGATCCCTCCCAGATTTTCCTCCTGAAACTGCTCACAGGAGACGTCTGGGCTTGCCCAGAACATCAGAAAAGGCTCTTTGAACTCCCCAAGTGGAGGGAGAGTTACTGACTGATCCTCCAGCTCCAGAGGGGAGGGTTTGTGGGGAGCCCAGGGCAGAGATTCCCAGATTTGAACATCTCTGGGTCCTTCTGGACGACTCAAACCCATCCAGCTAAACTGTTCAAGACAAGAGATGTTGGTTTTCCCAGTGATGATGGCCTGGGAAATCTTTATAATTTGCATTTCCCAGCCATAAATGGGGAGTGAAGGACAAACTCCTGTCACAAATCCCCCCCCAGGGACCAAATCCCTCACCCAGAGCTGGGATAAATCACATCCCTCCAGCCTGTGCTGGGAGCTGTTTGCTGTCAGGAGGAGCCAGAGGCATCCCAGGCTCTTCATCTTCTCATTCCTGGGGCCTCCAAGGCAGCCCCATCAGCCCCTGTGATGGCAAGTGGGGAGTTGTGAGGGAGAGCACGGGGGGTCGTTCAGAAAGGAAGGTTCTTGCCGACTGTTCAGGGGAAAAAAACCCAAAAAATCTGGGTTTTGGGGTTGGTTTTTTGGAGGTCATCCTGCTGTCCAGAATCTCATTTTATAACACTGCTGATCGCCTGAGAGGGAAAATTCCCTGTATTTTCTAACATATCTATTATTTACCATCCAAATTTACTCATCTACACCAAGTTATTGAGGAGTCAGATAATTTTCTTTGGGTTGGTTTTTTTTTTTGTTGTTTTGCCATGGACTTTTTTTAGTTCCTGGGATGGATTTGTTCATTGACAGCAGCAAAATAAGTGTCTAAATTCAAAAGTAACTGGTTCCTGCAGAGCTCCTTGGGCTGAGCAGGACGTGGTGGCTCCACAGGGTGAGGTCACTCCCACCTTTATTTTCCCTGGCTCCATTTTCTACCTTCCTGAATGCAGATGGGAGGGCTGGAAATCCCTTAAATCACTCCCTTCACACGCAGGGGGAGATCAGAAAAGTGTCTGCTCATGGAAATGATTCCGTGCCCGTTCGAAAAGGCCAAACCTCGGGAGCTGACGGGTCCCAGCTCGTCATTATCTGATGGGGAAACATCTCCCACATCTGTCAGCACCCGTTTTGGGAGGTTTAATGATTTAAAAACTCCAAGGGAGGAGCAAAATGTGTTTATTTGGGCTCTGGTGGGAGGGTGTTTTCGCCTCTGGGCAGTGCCAGGGTCGCTCCATCTCTTGCCCTGCCCGGAGTTGAGATCACAAGAGAGGCACAAACAAACAGGGAAAAGAGAAGCTCTTGCTGGTCTGAAGCTGAAATATTTTCCATCCCCCGTGTTTTTTAAACTGCCAAGCTGAGGACAAAAGTCAGAAGAAGAAAAAAAAAAAAAAGTTATTTTTCAGCCTTGGAAGGTCAAGTTCTAAAAATAAGTGGAAAACATGGAAAACACGGAAAACATCTACACCCCGAGGGGTGGGACGTGAAGGGTTTTCCGAGGAGTTCTTGTGGGGGATCGAGGGATGTAAAAGATAGAGGGGAAGATTCCCCAAAAGCATCTCCTTTTCCTCCCAGCCCAGGGGCAACAGCTCTTCACAAAGGCTCCTCTTTCCTGCTCCCTTCCCATCCCTGGAGGTGTCCAAGGATGGGGCTTGGAGCAACCTGGGAGAGTGGGAGGTGTCCCTGCCCACAGCAGGGGGTGGGATGGGATGGGATGGGATACAGGGATGGGATGGGATGGGATGGGATGGGATGGGATGGGATGGGATGGGATGGGATGGGATGGGATGGGATACAGGGATGGGATACAGGGATGGGATACAGGGATGGGATACAGGGATGGGATGGGATTTAAGCTCCTTCCAACCCAAACCATTCCACGATTCTGTGGACTTGGACCAACCTGGCCCAGTTCATTCAGGAGCAGGTCAATAAGGTTGGAGAATTTCTCCCTGCCCCACCACCCCAGAGAAATCAGAATTTCCCAGCAGCTCCTGTTCAGCTGCGTTTCCTTCGGATGCTCCTGTTTGACGCCTGCAAATTCCCAAAATAAACCCCGGGAAAAGAACCAGACACCGGAGTTTGGGGGCCTGGCCGCCAGCAGGAGCCTCAACCTTGTCCTCCCTCTGTGCTTCCAGACAAAACAAAACCCCTGCTCCCAGAAATCCGCAGGCCAGGGATTTTCCAGCTTGATGGTGTGCAAATGTTCAGCTGTTGCTAAAACACAATCCCGACAAAAACAGGATTCCAAACCATCCCCTCGCAGTGCCGGGGCGAGGGCAGGCAGGGATTAACTGGAGAGTGAGGAACAACAGCACCAGCAGGGAGAGGACGACTCCCTGTTGGATAGGAACACCCAGGGTGGGAATATTCCAAACAATCCTGGCAGTTCCAGGGGAGAAAACGTCCCTGTCCCCCTCCCCACCCGCTCCCTCCCTGCCATCATCCCTCCTGCCTGAGGAGTCCCAGCCTGCTGCAAGTCTGGGTTGTGTCTCCAGCTCTGAATCCCTCAGGGAATCGGGGCACTGAGGACCTTTTGTAAATAATTCTGATTTTTTTTGTTTGTTTGTTTTAATTTATCTGTTTGTTGAGTCGATGCCAAACTGCAGCGAGGGGGAGTCGGGGCTGGATGTGGCTCTGTCGGGAACCTCGCTGGGTTTACCAGTTATTGCCCCTTGCTGCTGCCTCCCCTGATAATGGGATCTGACTCCTGTCCACCAAAGCCCAAAAATAAATTAAAGTGCAAGTCACACAGCTCGCTGGGGCAGTGGCACAGGCCCACCAGCACAGCCACTGGCACCTTGGGACATTTCCCGGGAAGGAGCCACTTCCTGACACCCCAGACACTGAGCCCTGCCCTCAGGTGAGATCAGGATTCCAGCAGAATTCTCACTTTCCTGCCTGTTCCCCTGAAAACTATTCAAAATCTGGTTTTTAAGGTCCCTTCCAACCCAAACAATTCCAGGATTCCGGGAAACGACGAGTAAGGAACAGCAGCAGCTCCTGCCCCACGAGGCTCTTCCCTCTTTCTCTCTCTCGTGAGATTCCCACCAGGACAACCAGTCCAGTAACTCACTTTTCACTGCCCCACTTCACTCCTGAGGGAGAAGGAACCCCCCCCTGCAGCCTCCCTGAGTCCCTCAGAGGCCCAGCTGGGAATAATTAAACCATCTCCCTCCTCTGGAGCAGGGGAACCTTCATTCACTGCAGGGGAACCTTCATTCACAAGCACTGGCAGGGAAAGGCACTGAAAAAAACAAAAAAGGGTCTGCACATTCATCTGAAATAAGTGATGGATTGGGAAAGCTGGGGCTGTCCCATCCCTGGAAGTGTCCCAGGGCAGGTTGGAGCATCCTGGGATAGTGGGAGGTGTCCCTGCCCTTCCCACCCAAACCAGTCTGGGATTCCCTGATTCCCTGTGGAACAAGGAGTGTCTGAGTGCACAGTGAGGATGGGGGGGGATCCTGAGCAGCAGGATGAGGCTCACAGAGACCCTCCAGGTGGATTTGGTCACCTGGAGCTCCATCCAGGGATCCCGGGGTTCTGCTCATCTCCTTTCTCTGCCTCCAGAAAGGTCTCAGCACCGTCCAACATACCACCCTGCCGGGTCCCCCACTGGTGCTCCCAGCCCTTCCAAGATGCCTGAGCTGTTGTGTCAGCCCCGTCCTGTCTGAGGAGAACCTGGAATTAATGTGGCTCGTACAGAACCCGGGCCAGGGGGCCGGTGGAAGCCCCCCCAAACCCCCCAGCAGCTCTTGCTCAGCCTCCTGGAGGGCTGGCACAGACAAATGGGGACCAGGCAGAGGGGCTGGATGGGCCAGTGGCACCTTGGGACCGGGAAAAGCTCTGTGCCAGTGCTTGCCACCCTTTCCAGAGGCTCCTGGAACGATCCTGAGGGATGTGGGGGGGGAAAGGCTGCGAAGGGCTCTCTCTCCCCACCATCACCCTGCTCCCAGCTCTCCCCCCACCCGGCCCGTGTTGCAATCCCACCCCCAGGAGGGTCGTTAAAACCTCACAGGAAACTGCTGCACATTTTTTCCTCGGCTATTCATGCCCTTTTTTTTTTTTTTTCTATCAGGGACAATAAAGATTTCCAACGCTGGGTTAAGCTGCTCTCGCAACAATGAGCTCCTGTTGCTCTCCAGGAGCCAGCAGGAGCCCAGACATTGAGGAAACTGGGAATAATTCACTGGAATTGTACTGGGGAAAAAAAAAAAAAAAAAGAGAGGACTGAAGGCTGTTTTGACCAAGATGTGATGGTTAAGCCATCACGGCTTGCTGGGAATTATTATTGGGACTGTCATTATGTTTGGGGCTAGGAAGGTTTTCCCAGTTAAAAAGGGCTTTGGCTCTGGTCTCCCTCTTTTTGGATTTTGCTCCTAAAAAAAAAAAAAAAAAAACACCAAAACCTCCCAGAGTCATAATGACAATAACACAGATTCACTGCCTGCCCTCCCCTCGGCACCAAGTCACTTCCCAAAAACTCTTTGGGACGGCAGGGCTTAAAAAAACAAAAGCTTTTTCTGAGCAGGCTGGCTCTTCTTTCCCCCCTGGACGATGTCTAAAATTGATCTCTGCCGTCCAACCTTCCCCTTCTGTAATCCAGGGGTCTTCAGCAGGAGCGTAAACAGGAATTGGCCGGTGGCAGCCGGGACTGGAAGTGCTCAGGGCTCTGAGATCACCACGTGTAGGTGGGCAGACAGCACGTCCACGCTCTAATAGCCCTGGGACCTCTCTTAGGGAGCATTGACTCGAGTTTGAACGTGGACCAAGGCTTGTTAACTCCCAGGGAACATCTGGCACTGCCCCCTGGCCAGGCAGGACCCCGAGGCTGGGGGAATCTCCTCGCTGCGTGAGCACAGGGCTGGTTCAGCAGCCCCGCTTGTGTAGGGATAAAGACATTTCTGTCTTTATTCCTGGCCTCAGAGGGAGGGTTTGCTGCCCTCAAAGGGAGGGTTTGCTGCCCTCAAAGCGGCCACCAGCCTGGGGACATGCAGCTTCAAAAACAGAGCAGCTCCTTTCAGGCAGGAACACCCCCAGAGAACCTGCTGATGTTCCCACCGACACCTCCGGGATGGGGGGAGCAGCCAAACCCACAGCACAGGGCAGGGGAAAAGGGAAACCTCCAGCCTGGGGCTCCAGGGAAAAACCTTTTCCTTGAGGGGGAGCCAAGGAAAGGAGCTCCATCCACGGGACACAGAGCTGGCCTTTCTGTGGGCACATCCCAAAGCCCGTCCTGCCTCCCCCGTGGGGAGCACTGAGGTGCCTCCCCTGGCACTTTCAGAGCCAGCCTTTCTCCTGGAATCTCCAGGGAACCCCCAGGGATTTATTTTCCATGCCCAGGGTTATGTTCAGCAAACCTGCCCAGGTCTGCTGAGCACACACAGCCAAAAAAGCCACAGCCTTTAAATAAGAGTTGATTGGAGATGAATGACAGTTCTCTGGGCTCTTCCTCTGGCTGACTGAAACAGGGGCTGTTTTTTCCCCCCTCCCAGTTGTCCTCTCCCTACTAATTAACTCCACTGCTTACATTTAAAAAAATAAATAATAAAAAAAAAGATACCCAGGGGGATTTTAACAGCTGGAATGAAGCAAAACCAGCCCTGAGCAATCAGGTCTTTTCAGGACAACGGTGATCAAAGAGGTGCTCTGTAAAAATGGTCTTGGCAGCCAGCTGTTGGCAGGGGACATAAAGCTTTTTTTCCCCCTGCTGGAAATTAGATTTAAACTTGTACAGAGAGGAAGAAAGGATCGATCACTCCCGTAATAATCCCCCCTTTTCTCCAAACTCAGCTCTTCCAATGGGACAAAGAGAAATGGGGGGGGGGGAAGGAAATCCAGGATGAAGTGTAACACTGTCTGGCTCATCTCAGGAAGGGGCTAAGACACTTCAATTCAGTTTTAATACGAGACATTTAGCACTTGTGTGAGGAAATGTGTCTTTTTCTTACACCAGGGAAATGGGGGGGAAAAAAAAAGCCTTTGTGAATGACAATGAAGATTCTCTTCTTTCTTCAGCTGCTGAGGAATCAGGGGGTTCATGGAGGGCACAAAGAACAGAGGGATAAAGGAAGCACCAGCAAATTGTTGAGGTTGTTCTCTAAAGTGCTCTCGTAATCCAGATGTAAAATGAGGACCCTGAATAAGAAAATGGGTTTCTTTTTATAACAGAGCCTCAGCATCCCACCCAAATCCTCCCTCCTCTTAGAGGGGTGGGGGAGCAGAGCTTTGCCTCAGCCTTTTTTTT